GTCGAATAATTATATAAAAATAAATTAAAAAAAATAATACTCAAACTTACAACTATGCCATCTATAATATAAAATACAGCCATCAATTTATTTTTCACATGATCCTCGTGCTCGAGGTCGATTGTAAATCTTTCAGAAAATCGGCAATTATTTCGATAAACTAGGAACTTGAAAAAAGAAGGGCACCCAAACTATTGAACTATTGTACGGAAAAGTATACGTATTCTACATCAATTGTGAAGTTGTCGAACATACCCACTTTAGAAGTAATGGGTGTGCAAAAAAACAAAAACCACACACATTCCAATTTAACTGTTAACGATCCTATGACACCTCCACCGGGGCCACTCGAAATCATATCCAGCCCTTATTCGCATAAATATCGAGTATCCTCCTCGCCCTGCGCAAGCAAGCCTCGTTCAGCCCACTCTTTTCAAAGTTCTCGCCATCCCCGAGCTCCACGACCTTCGTCATGAGCATCACGTGAAACAGCTCGTTGGCCGCGTCGATCTTGAGCCTCCCGTGGAAGCTCTCCCCGGAGAAGAGGCTCGCGTCGCAGTGCAGCTCCCCCAGCGCGTCCGCGGCGCTCCGCCGGTAGAGTTCGAGCGCCTCGTCGAAGCCCACGATCGGCAGCTCCATGCTGCTGCAGAGGAGGAAGACGAGATCGGTAAGCGGACTGCTCAGGTAGAAGGTCTGGAAATCGACCATCTTGACATCGTCGACGCCTCGATCGTCCCGGTGGAACATGAGATTGTTCACCCAGTTGTCGCCGTGGCAGGTGCACGCCCACTCGTGTTCCGCGGCGAGGGGCGAGTAGTACGACTCGCTCAGTTGTCGGGTCTTTGTCGCGAGGACGCGATCGACGTACGGGGCGCCCTGATCGTCCGCGCGCAGCTGCTCCATGAAGCTGTTCACGTAGGTGGACATCACGTCGTCTTTGACGGCCAGTGGGGTGCCGTACTGCTTGAGGATCGGCAGGAAATCGGGCTTTCTGTGCTTTATCGAGAGCCCAACCGCGTGGAATCGAGCCAGTGCTCGGATGGCGAGCTTCAGGTGCGACGTGTCCAAGCCTGGAATTTTTTTTTTTTATTTTTTTTTTTCATAACTATTTCCGTGACCGAGGAGGAATCGACAATGACATTCCGAGTGACTTGAATGCAAGAGTGGTATTCCCCATGGTTTGTGTTTCTTATTCGATCGACAAGAATTACGAGGAAAAGTATTAAGCAAAAAACGAGTGACATCGATTCATTTATAATAAATATACATATATATTTATAAACTTGGAGTACAGCATGGAATCATCATTGGAACATTGGTTAAAAACATTCTTCGCGTCATCTTTTTTTTTTTTTTTCTTTTTTTTAGTCACGTCATGTTCAACCGATCCCTCCAATCGCAAGTATCGTACGATACGTGTATAGTTACGTTTAAAAAGCACGACAAAAAATGAAAAATCGAGACTTGCAATCGAGACATTGGTGCGATTGTTTGTAAAGCCAAATATCACAGTAAGTATGTTTACGTAATGAAATAAAATGAAAAAAAAAAAAAAAAACCATCGCTAAATATTAAATAAAATATTCATCCCCAATTACCATCTATCATTCAACAAATAAAATAAAATAAAACTAGTTTGATTTTCCAAGATATATAATATACCCTTGCGCCTATCGGTCATGTAATATCCTCGAACTTTAAGATTCTGCATGAGAATAACAGCATCGTCGTCGACCAGCACATCCTCATCATCATCATCACCATCGCCGTGGCCTCCACCAGATTTCAGGTTGAACCTCGCCCCATAAAACTCCGGAAGTATGTCAAACACCTCGTCAGCCGGCACGCCGAATTCGCGCTCCAACTGCTGGTAAGCGGGCATCAGTTTTTTGTAAAAAAACGTCTCCTTCTTGAAAGTAAAGGAACTATGAAATATCAAACGCTGAAAATCCGTGGGTGGCATCATTTTGGCAACCAGATTCAACTCCTCCTTCTCCTCCTCGTTTTTCTCTGGTTTATTTCTCTTGATAACTGCGCGAACTTTGAGTATCGTGCTCCCATAATTATCTCCGGGCGGTAGAAGCGACTCCGTGCTGCATTCGAGCAAACCATCGAAGTCTAATCGCTTGCGCAACAGCGACTCAAGGTCGCGTAACTCGACCTGGAACACTTTTACCGCGGCTTCTGACATTTTTTTTATTTTATTTTTTTTATTTTTTATTTTTTTGCGAATTCGACTGCTCGGAGTAGCAGAGAACGAATGACTGAAAAGGAAACTGAAAGATCTACTAGGTATAAGCGCAAAGAGTATATATGTACATATGAGAGTAGGGCTGTGACGTCGTATATGTGGGCAATCTAATTTTTGCACGCAAGCAAACCACTGTGGAGAAGATCAGATATACCTATTTTTGCAGTCACACGTATTTGCTAATTTATATACATGTATATGTGTGTTGATGCGTAGATATGATAAGGCTATTAGTCATCGGGAATTTTTTAATAAAATCGAGCTATCATGTGATACAGACGCATAAGCGTTACGTAAATTAATACTCAGTTTTTTAAGTATTTTCTGTGCTGTGTAAGTTGGTGATTTTTTTTTTCTACTGCAGTCTAGACTTTAACGACAGTAGCGTTCAGCGCGATAAATTGACTGTGATGATCTCAACGTGTAACGAGAAGCAATGAGTCCCTACTGCGCTATACAAATTACTGTTCTGCTATTAAAAAAAAAAACCTGTGTTGTTCATAAAAAGATAATTATGATTTTTATGACTGACACATGCATGTACATTAAGTCATGTGTTCAAGAAATCTATTGACAATCTTAAAATTGACTGCCGAGTTCATCTCATTGTACCGATTTTTTTTCCTTTTTTTTTTTATTGAAATACATGTATATTATAAATTATCCAAAAATCCTACGTAATATTCTTGAATCTAATTTTTACTTATGCTTCACAGGTAAATTTAGCCACTGTTTTCTCAATTGATATTACAGCACAGTGTGGACGTAAAAAAAAAAAAAAAAAAAAAAAAAAAAAAAAAAAAAAAAAAAAAAAAAAAAAA